CTCTGGTTTAATTACACAGTGATGGGGAATGTAGTAGCTATTTTCAAGAGTAGGATTATCTAAAATATTCATATGACCACTTTTTAGGTATTCCATCATAAAATCAGAGTAATTTTGATGTAACACTGGGTCGCGAAGGAGTTTACGTTCTAAAAGGAAAAATCTACGAAGTGCCAAACTACGTGTATCTCCAAAATCTGGAATGTTATTTTGGAAAGGGAGTGAAACGACAAATCTTCCTTGGGAGTTACGAGTAGTTGTTTGCATAAAAATTCTCTCACACTGCTCTTCTTTAGGGGAGATTTTAGGTGAAGCTGGAAGTTCTTCAATTTCCCAAAATCTTTTAATTGTTGTATCTAATGCCGAATCAAGCTGACAAAAAAACGACTTAATATTAAGAGATGAATTGGTGGGATATGCCATTTTGCCCATTAAAATCCACCCAAACACAGTGTTAAGTGCTATAGGCTCATCTGGGCCACCCATTACCTTACCATTTTCTAAAATTAAAGGGAATATATCTGCTGCCAATAGCATATCTATCTTACCTGGCTTATTAAAGTCAGGATCGGACAACTTTAAATTGGAAATATGAGACCACGGTTTAATGGAAAAGGTTGTGGTGGGTATATCAGAGCAGATTGCGGGTAGAATCATGGCATCAATATTATAGGTGACTAGAGGATTATCTATGGGTCTTAAGGAGCAGGATATAGCTGCAGAGGTTGAGGTGGTTTTCGTAGAACCAATTCCATGAATAGACATGGGCAAATTAAATTGAGGGAGTCCCAAGCGGCGAGCACATTTTTCTGAGATAAAGTTAGCTTGGGAACCACAATCAATGAGTACGCGAAGGGTTTGGTAATTTTGGCGGGAATCTAAAACTTGAACAAGAGCAGTTGAGAGAAGAACACTAGATTGTGTAGAGGCCATACCAACAAGAGAATCAGTCTGGGCAATTTCCAAATTATGAGGACGGGGTTGAATTGAGTTATTATCCCCAAAGTGTAAAAGAGAGTGATGTTTTTGTTTACAAACGCGACAAACAGAGGAAGACTGGCAATATTTGGAGGTATGTTTACTACCAAGGCAGTTAATGCACCAGTTGTGAGACTTGACAATGTCATAACGTTCGTGAGGAGTCTTATTATTAAAAAGTTCACATTGGTAAATAGAATGTTCTGACTTGCACAGAACACAGAACAACTTACCAGTATTTGCGACAAATGCAGATGCGTTACCACGATTAATGGGTTTGGGGGGAATAAATTTGTTTTTATTAAATGAGTTAGGTTTAGTTTTAATTTGTGAATCAATATTATCTAAAGCGTTGCACTGCTTAGCAATAAAAGTTTTTAACTCTTCAAAATTTGGGACAGTTTCATTATTACAATTTAAGTTTAGTTCAAATTGGGTTATAGTGTTTTTATCTAACCTTTTTTTAAGCATGTAAAAAAGTAAGAAATCCCATTCAGCAACTGGGAAATCGAGATTATCTAATGCAGCTAGATTTTCCTCAAAAGTATCAACTAAATTTCTTAAAGATTGAGTATTAGCTGTCGTTTCGTTCAATGAAACTGTATCATCAATTTTTCGAAGATAAGCTGTAGCCATTAAACGTTTGTTGTGGTATCTTTTCATTAAAGAATTATATGCAACTGCGTAATTGTCTGCGGTTAGAGGAACACATTGTACAACGGTTAAAGAAGGACCAGTTAGGGAATCATATAAGTGATGAAACTTTTCAATATCTGAAAGAGCCGAGTTGTTGTGAACGAGAGAATTGAAAGTGTCAATAAACGTTTTAAATTTAGTAAAATCACCAGTAAATTTAGGTAAAGTTATTTTATTCAAGCGAATATTGCGTTGTGAATTATCTTGGGATTTTACCAAAGTTAAAGGTTTAGTTTGTGAGTCTGTTTCACAGAGTTTAAAATGAATTGTTCTAATCACAAGATAATCTTGTTCAAACTGAGCACGAACTAATTCTTCAGCATCCAAATTAGAATCTTCTATTGTCGCCAAAAGAGTAATCAAAGCAGCATGATTTTTCTTAAATTCATTATAAATTTCTGTGAGACGTTGATAAGAAATTCGGAAGTTAACAAAATTATCTTCATCTGTCTCGGCGCTTTCAGCGATCGTTTTTAATTCAGCGAGTTCACATATATTAATTGCTCTAAGAGCATTGTATTGTTTTACCTTGTTTGCGTTGGTAGTCATTTTTATATATACCTACCTATGCACTTATATTTAGAATAACAAATTCAAAAAATATTTAAATTATTTAAAGCGACGAAAAGTAAACACCCTGTATAGATGTATTTAGAATAGCAAATTTAAAAAATATTTCAATTATTTAAAGCGACGAAAATAAACACCCTGTATAGATGTACTTAGAATAGTAAATTTAAAAAATATTTAAATTATTTAAAGCGACGAAAATAAACACCCTGTATAGATGTATGATAGAATAATAAAATTTAACAATTTAAAAACGGTAGATTTCCAAATATAAGTGAACAGTATTAATTTTAAGAAAATTGTTATTAAATTGACAACAAAGTGAGACAAGGTGAGAAATAGCGCAAAAGTGAGAAATTAAACAATTGTAGTAAACAAAGAGAGAGCGCGTGCACGAAAAAGAGCGAAATACCGGCAAAAACTATGGGTAACAAAAACGAAGCGTAAAAACGTTTTAAAACTTTCGTTTTAAATTAAATTTTATACGTTAATTATGAATGCAAAATTAGTATAATATATCGAAAAATCAATAATCAATTATGGGTTTATCTGCCTTAATTCAACAGCAATTTACAAAACAATTTGGCGAAGAAGGGCCAAAAAATGTTGCGTAAAAGATTAAAAAAAAATAAACGAGACAACCCCTAGTGACTTACCTTGCTTATTTTCTGACGGAGTGGACTGTAGTTCTGGTTCTTCATAAATTGCCTTTGAAATAAGGAGCACCACCACACAATTTTCTTGCCGGTCGAGAAGCGTCGAATTTTTAAGTATGCGCGTTATTCGGTGATTCTTGCACGTGTGTGTCCGCAATTGTCTGTATATGGCGTTATTGCCACCAGGGGCGTAATTATCGCGAAAAATCATAATTAAACAAATTAACCATTGAATTAAGGCAACCCACATTGCACATAAATCTAAATATACATTTAATAAAATTAAAATAAAAAAAATTAATATTAAATTAATATAGTGTTGAAGATTTTTTTTAATCTTTTACGCAACAAACTTAATAAGTAAAATTAACCAAAAACAAAAAACTAATCTATATAAAAGTCTATCTATACCGTGCTTAAATAAGTTTATTGAAAACCATTAATGTATAGAGTATTAGTATAGAGCTATACAATTATTTCATTGCACATCGTTCTTTTAGCAGGGTATTAAAGAAAAATCCTTAAGGTCCCTTTCATTCCACTGTTAAAGCTGACACTCTTAAGGGAAGCACTATAAATGGAGTAATTAAGTCTATTATTTTCCGTGCGAGGTTTGTCGTAACTCGAAAATCTTAGAAATTTTTGCTCGAATAAATATAAACGGCTCTTTGGAATATTGTAGGTCACCAAAAATTACCACATTGCCTATCACTAGGTCGTGTATATTCATATTAAAACATAATGAAACAGTTAATTTCACTTTTAAAAATACATAATGTATATAAAATATTTTTTCTACTCCTATTACGGAATTTGACCCTTCTAATAACACTTTTATCTATGGAATGACATATATTCCGTAAAGTGCTACAGAATTAAATATTCTATCATCTGATGACAGAATAAACACTCCTGGCGACATCTCTGTTTTTAATATCTAATTTTAGATCGATCTAACCTCACTTTCTTCCAATTAAATTATTTTTCTATGGTATTTTTTTGAAACGTAGAAAAAGTATAGTCTGAAACACGTTTGGAATAGCATATACCGCTCTCGTGAAACCGTCAAACTCGCCTTCGGCTCGTGTGACAAACTCTTCACTCGAGCGGAATATGCTGTATCCCAAACTTGTTACAAAATATACTATTCTTTGCGAGAACATAAGTATTTTACTACTAACGAGCAGAAGAAGTAATTTCTCTCACTAGTCGAGAAAGATGAGCAGTTCACAATTTCAAGAATACTTGTTTTTCACTTTCGTGGGAACTTGGCAAATTTTCTCCTAAGAAGCTCCCCGATTTTAAGAATAGTGTACATTGTACATGTGACATGTTCATTTTGGGCAAAATTTAGCGTAATATATATAAGTTATATAAAGTCATTTTGGCTAAAATATATCTATTGATTTTTTTGTTCCCATATAAAATAAATTTAGTACAAATTATGGTTAAATCGGACATAGCTAACATTCGCCATATTTTTTTGTTGAAACAGATCTGACGCTTTAAGAAAAAATCGCGGATATGAAAATATTTTTCAAAATTAACTTTCCAGTGAATTTTAAGCTTAAAATATTAAAAATTCAATGTTATAAGTGACATAAATTGCATATGCATTTAGTTTTAGAAAAGAATATATTAAAATTAAGGCAACATTTACCCAAAATATAAGATTTAGGTTATAATTACATAATTATCAATAAGACATTCTGCACTTGGTTGCAATTATCTTTGTTTTCAATTAAAAATACTTTGGGTTTACTTTGTGACAGAAAACCCTACTTTGACAATAATTTGAAACAAATGGTGACCAAAATTTAGAAACACCTTGAGAAAAAATCGGGCACATTATGAAGAAATAAAATTTAATTATATTATTATTATTATTATTATTATATCATACCATATTTGACAAATTTATCTTTTTTATTTTAGAATAATAACGACACAATGTATCAGAGCATTATTTGTATTGATTTTTATTTGGATGTTTCTTTATTTAAAAATATTAAATAATTAAAATGCTTTGTATTTTATAGAAAAATATTACCAAATTTATTTTTAAAATAAAACAAAAATAAAATTATAAAAATATATTTATCTACCATTGTATCAAAAAAACCTTTAAAGCCCAAATAAATAAAATAAATAAAACCTTAGCTTTCATAAATTCATCGTTCGTAGCATTTGGCGCAAGACTTTTTGACGGCATAAATTCTAAATTCCGCATTCTTAGGATCCGGACAGCTGGAACAGTCGATGTCAAAAGTATTGCACTCTCCGAAAAGACATGTATTCTCTTTGTAGGTACTTTTTAGACGGTAACCCGGAGTGGGACCGTAATCTTCCCCCTTGTAGTCTCCTTGTTGACAAAGATACCCGCAGACTTTGGTACGGAAACAACCGTAATCAGAACATTGAGGTAAATTGCAGCAAGCAACACCTGGTGGTATTTCGGTGGGGTACGGGTAGTAAAGTTGTAAATTTGCGTATCTTGAGTCTCTGTAGTTCTGAGGTTGGCCAAGGACTAAAGTAGTGGCGATTACTAGTAGAGTTATGAGTAGAACCTTCTGTAAATTTAAAAAAACTGGTCAAATAACTTATTTGGAAATTTTAGGTATCTTTTTTTTTAAGTTCAGTTATATTTAAAAAAGTAAGCCCTTTACATATAAAGATACACATTTTATGCATTTTTATCAAGTTTGTAATTTTTTTTGCCCACTAGATTTTGAGTTACCACGACCATCGTTTGTTTTTCCGCCATATTGGAATTTTATAAAAACAAATAAAAATTGGATAATTATGTAGATACATGTGTATTTTTACATGTAAAACTTAATTTTTTTCAAAATTTTCTTTAAAATGAAAGAGTCAAAATTCTACTATTCGAATTGGTACCAGCATTTTTTACTCATAAAATAGTCGTTTTCACTTTTAAATAGTTTGACTAATTTAAGATTAGTCACCATCTTTGACTATTTCTGAGAGTTAAAAGTCACTAATTTCTTTAATCGTTTGAGGCCAACAACAAAGTATATTTGTATTAAATGCATATACCTAAGCAGCCATGGTTAAATGGCCCATAAAAACAAATAAAGATGCAAAAAGTTTAGTTCAAAACAGCAACACAAATAATATATTCAACTTTAATATTATTATGAACAATATTTATTGACAAATAAAATTGATTTTAAAAGAGCGGCTGATAGCCGAATGGGTTATTAGAATAGCTTGACAAGCTTGACCTGGCTGGGTCAAAACTTTTTTTAAATTTAAATCTACTAATTTGACTATTTCTTTCAGTAGATTTTGACTAATTATTAGTGACTGCTTTTTCGCTATGACAATTTTTCAAATATGACTTATAATTATTTATTTTTGACTAATTCATTTTAAGAGAGCAGGAATAACGAAGTTATAACAATTTTTACAAATATTAAGAACAGATTATTCTTTTGAATATTTAATTTTTATGTTGCTCGTAATTACGCAACTTTTCTTTGATATAACCGACCTTGTATAGCCATAGCTCTTTTAATAAAAAATAATCCATAATCGGTAGACCTGTTCCTATGATCTGAGCTAGAATAGAGTTAAAATATTGGAATATAAATGCTGGTCCTATGCTTTCGGATTTCTAAAAGTGATATGTAACGACACACGTTTGTTTTCAGGATATATTTATACTAGTGACGCAGGAACGGTTTTAAGTTGGGTGGTGGCGTAACCGACTACCATCCTTATTGTTTAGCACCAAATACCGTAAGAATAAAAAGGGTAATATGTGATTTCTTGTCTTATTAGCAATAAAATTCGTTATTACGTTAATAAAGCTTAAGCTTATCATTTTAGCACGCGATACAAACGATTTTAGCATTTCAACGTTATTAAGAATAACATAGACGGTACACAACTTGTCTTATTGGTAGGTTTTTTGAAAGAATTTGGAGGGTACATTTTATATCAAGTAAGTTACTAACCCCCCTCTCCCCCTTATCATTTGGGTGGGCATTGCACCTACTATAAACATTTCCTGAAAACAAACGTTTGTCGACACGATCGTAACATATCACTTTTAGAAATCCTACATATGTATATACATATTATATTTAAAATAAATTTTGGAAGCAATTTACAGAAAAAAAACCTTAATGTAGTATTTTAAATTGAAGACTACACTAGTTACTTACCATTTTGTATTCCTTAAAACAAGTAATCCCAATATAATTGATTAAACTTTTAACTGTATAATGCTTCAAATAACACTAAATTCTGACAAGTTTAAACTTTTATATAAACAGATAGCAATGATGATGTTAATATCAGTGGTAAATATAAATTCTCCCGTGCTTGCTTTTTATTATTTATTTGTTTTGATTGGCCTTTCGCAATAAAAATATTGATAACTTATTGGAAATATCTTGAAAATGAAAACAAACATTCAAAATATGATCATGGAAATAACCTAATTTTAAAAGGAAGGTTTGTACATTAAATTTTCCAATTAAATATAAAATTATAATTTAAAATAAAGTTTGAATATTTGGTTTAATTTAGATCTTTATATATTGTTATACAAAAATAGTGTGCAAGCGGTTTTAAGAGCCAAAAATAGGAAGAAAACTTTATATGAACATAGGTCGGCAAATGTCCCCTAAGGCTCCTACATAGCCCCCAAAGGGACGCCCCTGAAGATGTTTTATTATTATTATTTCTGAAACGTTTTAATATAAAATAATCCATTATGTTTTTTTTTTAATATTTTTACAGCAAACCTGCAAAAAAAAGCACACAAAAAATGTTGTGGACTTAAATACCTTAGGCCGTCCCTGTTTAATACACTAATAAATAAAAAAATATAAAATGTTGTTATTATTTTTAAATTAAGCATAAAACGTTAAGTAAGCATACAAAATTCCATTATTTTATTTTATTTTGTTTTATTATTCCATTATTATTTTATCGGAAATAATAATAAAAAAACATCTTTAGGGTCGCCTCTTTAAGAAGCTGCAGCTTCATTAGGGGCCAATTAAGAAACCACCTTGTATACCAATTATAATTTTTTTTAAATATTACCATTTTTGCAATTTTTTTATTGTTTTTAGCAGTTTTAATAATAAATACAACTAATAAAAAATTTTTGTCCAAAATTTTTAAATGTACTTCAGAGTTAATTTTTAGTAACAATTTGCATTTTAATAAAAATTTTATAAACATGTTACGAATTGGGAATGTGTTTTACATAATATTTTGTAATAATTAATCGTTTTCTTCGTTTGCAATAACATTAACTAATTTATGCACTTTTATTTACAAATTCAGCTCGTTTATAAAAGATAAAAATTTTAATGTCTGCTGACGAATTGATCATTTATTTTAACAATATTATTTTTAATAACTAAATGTTTTTTAATTTATATTGTAAAAAAATTAGCTTAAATTTCATAAATATCAAAAAGATTATATTAATAAATTTAATAAATCGCGAGATCAGGACAAAATTTAAAAATTTCAAATTTATTTTTACGGTTTGCATAAATTAATATTGAAATTTTAATTATTTCTTTAATTAAAATATAAAATTATCAGGTTCCAAATAACAGGATTTGCAGAAACTAATAACTAATTTAAACAATTTAATTACAATTCTATTCAAATAGTTTCAATTATATTAATGAAAATGTTTGTGACAGATCACTAAATTGATTATTTTAATTTTTTTTTCGGTTCGTGGGTTTAGGACGTAAAATAAAAGCAACTTTCTTTTTTTTTAAGAAAAATTGCCGACGTTTCGAAAATATTTATTTCTTTCTCAAGGCTAAAAATGAGTTAAAAATAGCCGAATTAGTCTATGGACATTCTCAATAGATAATTAAAAATAATCTAAAACACATAAATAAGCTTACCTATTTTCATAATGAAAGTATATACACTCACCGGCACGAAAAACGGAGCAGTTAAACTTTTTTAAACAAATTAAAATTTTAACGATTTGCAATGTTTTATTACTATAATATCTTAAATACAAACAAAACAACATGTTTTAAAGAAATTTATAACAAAAAATAAAAGATTATTTAAAAAGAAAAACTATTTTGTTACAACTTAAAAAACTAGGACGAAAAAACACAAAATGGTGCTGTCGCAAAATGATATTAAATTAGTAAAAACTGAAAACATGTGCTAGCAAAAACTGAAGATCATCATAATTAATAACGGGTGTTGCCTCCACGTGACTGAATTATAGCTTGTATTCTCCTTGGCATGCCTAAAATTAAATGGCGAATGTCCTCTTGAGGAATAAGTTCCCATTCCTCTAAAAGAGCTTGTTCCAACTGATTTAAAGTTAAAGGAGCAGGAACACGATTTCTTATTCTTCGCCCAAGCATGTCCCAAACATGTTCAATTGGGTTCGCATCTGGACTTAACGATGGCCACTCCATAACAGGAATGTTTACATCGTTTAAGTACCGTTGAGTGATTCTCCCGGTGTGAGGTGGGGCATTATCATGCATGAAAAGAAAGTCATCTCCAATAAAACCGACATAAGGGACAACAAAATCTTGTAAAATTTCCTCAATGTACCGGGCAGCAGTTAAGGACCCTCTAGGAACGATGTACAATTCTGTGCGTGCCTCCAAAGAAATTCCAGCCCACACCATAACTGAGCCACCTTGGTATCCTACCCTAGGACTAAACGTACATTCTGCAAAACGCTCGTGTGGTCTTCGCCATACTCTCTCACGACCATCTGGAGACCGTAGGCTAAACCTTGACTCGTCCGTAAACAAAACACGCGCCCATTCATTTTCAGCCCAATGCTCATGATTTCTAGCAAATTGTAGTCGCGCAACGCGATGACGCCTAAGAAGCTCTGGACCCGTTGCAGGTCTACGATTAGTAAGATTTGCTTCTCCAAGTCTTCGTCTAACTGTTCGTTCACTTATGTTGGTATTCCGAACGTAATGCAGTTGATTTCTGATTTCTACAGCTGTAGCACGACGATTTCGCAGACTTTGTAAGATAATAAAGCGATCATCCTGAGCGTTACTTCTTCGTTGGGGACCAGTTCCAGGTCGTCTGGTGTAAGCTCCCGTTTCCAAAAAACGTGTATAAATACGGTGAACAGTGCTATTGGATGTGTGATATTGTTGGGCAACATATCTCTCACTTCTTCCGTCTTGAATCAACGCAACAATAGCAGCCGCTGTTTCGGGATTAACGGCCATATTTTTTTAAATAAAATAAACGCAGCACAAATTAAAAATGTGTTTGACACTTCTTTTGACTTATAAAATTTCATGGGTTCATCGCCAACTATGCTCTTTTAAGCAATAGCATCTATGCAATATTTAATTGATTTAAATTTTTATTTAAAAACATTTTATTTTTTTAAATAAATGTTCAATTGTATTTAGAAATTTCTTAAAACATGTTATTTTATTTGTACTTAAGATATAATAATAATAATATATCACCAAGCGTTAAAATTATAAGTTTGTTTAAAAAAATTCAACTGCTCCGTTTTTCATGCCGGGGAGTGTAGTCCATGTGTAAAAATAAAAATAAAATTAATAGTAGCACCATCATATATACGGTCGATTTTTCGAAACATTCGTCTGTTAACGTTATTTAATTAATATGTGGTTTATTTAGTTGATGTGGAGAATTTTTGTTTGTTAACTAAATTAAAACTATATTTAAAGGGTTCTAGTTATTACTTTTTGTTATTGTTTTGTTATATTTATAGGAATTGATCTAAATCTAAATTATTATTTATGTATAATATACAGTATTTTATTTACTATAACTTTGTATGTTTGTTATATAATCTATTAAGAATGTCCATAGACTAATTCGACTATTTTTAACTCATTTTTAGCCTTAAGAAAGAAAGAAAAATTTTCGAAACGTCGGCAATTTTTCTTAAGTTGTTTATATCCTAAACCCACCAACCTTACTGCAAATAAAATAAAAAATTTAAAGGACACTACACATCATTGCAATTATTTTAATTTTTTTGAATATTTTATTTTACACCACATCATTACTGTTTTACATAGCAGAAATTAGTTTTTGATTACTTTGTGCTGTCCTTTTAGTGATTCCCACGAGAGTCTCGCATGGTCTCGTCTCGTTTTCGAGACGATATTTGGACCGGACGAGACGATACTTTTATTGGTCTCGTCTCGAGTCTCGAGCGAGACTTCTGAAGTCTCGTGCGAGAGTCGCAGGAAAATATTTCTGCGCACGGACTTGATCGTCACTCGGTGTTATTAGGGTGATTCTCCAGAACGGAGCAAATATGCTGAAACTCTTAAATAAAATATACTAATGAAAGTAGTTAGCATTTAAATAACACTACAATAGACAGTTTATGTCTAGCAGTAAAACGTACTTAACCAAAAAAATAAAACAATATTTATTTTATTAATTTGAATTTGCTTAAACGCTTTAAAGTCAACTCCATGGACTGTCACCACCTAGCGTAGGGACAACAAATCATCCATATACTATTAGACTAGATGCAATTGTGAAATGATTCTTTCATATTGCATTTCCTCTAACTTGGAATGTATAAAAAAAACACAACCAAAAGCAAACTTATTAATATTTTAACCCAAAATGTCGAATAAAGCATGAGACACCATTTTACAGCTAAGTTCTTTGCAGTCTTTTAATATATGATAAATGCCCCGTATAAAACGTATTTTAGTAATGTTTGAAGACTTCGTCGTTTGAGTGATTTAGTGTTGATTTGTGTAAGAAAGGCAAAGGGGGTGTAATACTTAATAAAAATTTATAAAGAACAATTATTTGTGAAAAAACGGGTAAGTATTTTTATCAAAGATCAACTCCATGTCTTTAATAACAAAGGGATTTAAATACAATTGAAATTTAAACTTTCTCCAGATGAAATAACCAAATATGCTTTGCTTAAATAACAGTTAACTAAAGATACATTCTGTACCATTTTCTAAAGTTTATGACTTTAACTATAAAAACATCAACTCCATGGACATCAACTCCATGGAGTTAAAAGGTATGTCCATGGAGTTGTTCACTTTCTTATTATTGCCCTAAACTCTTCGCTCATATAAGTTAAGGCATTATTATCGATAATTAATAATATATAGTTAAATTATAATAAATTTAATTTAATTTTTCTTTAAAAAAATGATATAATAGTATTATTATTATAACTATATGTATATATTAAGTTTAATTTATAGCCGCCTTGAAATTACTTTATGTTATTAAGAAATACACATTAAGGTATTATTTTGCTAGTGTTTTATTAATCTT